GGAAGAAAGAGGAAGGAGAGAGGAGGGAGGGAGGGAGTAGGGACAGAGGGAGGGAGGGAGAGAGGAGGGACAGAAGGAGGGAGGAGGGAGGAAGGGAGGGAAGGAGGTCTTGGCCATAGTATTCTTAGAGAAGTGCCAGTAGTCTATCAAGAGATGCCAGACAGCAAGGTGAGTGCTCTGTTGATGGCACCTGAGGGTGTTTGGAGCGCACCAGCACCTGCAGGACAAAGAACACCTGTAGCACCTGCTGGGCAACCCCCAGGCCCTGCAAGCAGCCTGACCTTGTTTGGTTTGGTCTGAGGTAGGTTCTCATAGGTATGGAACTCACGGTGATCCTCCTGCCTCAGCCCCCCATGTGCTGGGATGACATGAGAGGCTGGATCTCACATTATGCTGCACTTGGGGACGGGTGCCTCTTCTGACCCAGGTTTGAGCATCCTGTACTGTGCACCCCACTCATGCAGCTGGGTAACAAGAGCCTGCAGCTTTGGCAGCTCTTGGGGTCATGGCTCAGGGTACCTGGAAGGGGTGACCCTGGATTTGGTGCAGAGGAAGCGAGTGGCTCCGGATGTCCTGACATGCACTGTCCCTTCCTCCCAGCAGGAGTGCAGTTTCCCACACTTTACGGTGTGGCCCACTGGCCCTGCTGGAGGTTTTCCTTTGCACACGTACTTGTTCCCATGTAGGCTTGGCCTGTGTTCTGTAGGAACGCCTACATTCCCCTAAGGAAGACCCCACAGGGAGGTGTCACACACTCCACCAGCCTCCTCCCACTGTCACCCACAGAGCTGCCTCTACTGCATGTCAGTTGCAGGCAAAGCAAGAAGATATTTTATCCTAAAAATGAAGAATTCGTGCCAGGTGTGATGGTGCATGCCTGTAATCCTAGCTGTTGGGAAGCTGAGGCAGGAGGATCACCAGGAGTTAGAGGCCAGCCTGAGCTACATAAGCGAGTTCAAGGCCAGCCTGAACTACATAGTGAGACCCTGTCTCAACTAAAAATAAATAAATAAAATAAAATAAAATAAACATGATGAATCTGAACATTTTCTTCCCATTTCCCAATATATATTATACATTTTGGTCTTTATTTTGAAGAAAATGTTCAAATGAAAAGGGGAACAAGAGAGAAGGGACAAGAAAAAAGAATAGAAGCCAAGATTTGTGAGTAAGAAGAGGGATTGAAGGGAGGGGAGGGGAACGGGAAACCAAGAAACAGCAAGGTACACCGAGGACAGGTACAAATTCCCGTGATGAATCTCACCACTCTGTACATCTAAAATGTACCAATACATTTTTACAAAATTAGGCCACTGTGCCCCCATGGCATAGAGCCCCTCTCACGCCATAGGGCACACTTCTTTTCTGACTTTTACTTGGCCCACACTTACTCTGCAGAGCCTGTTTCTTTTCCTACCTTTAATAAAACTGTGCTGCTGGGCGTGGTGGTGCACACCTGTAATCCCAGCACTCAGGAGGTTGAGACAGGAGGATCGTTGTGAGTTCGAGGCCAGCCTGGGCTACAAAGTGAGTTCAAGGCCAGCCTGAACTGCATAGCAAGACTCTGTCTCAAAAAGACAAAAAAAAAAAAAACAAAACAAAAAAAAAAACTGTGCTGCTAGTTTAAAAATTAAAATAAAATAAAATAACAAAAAAATAAAGATAAATAATATGGGGCAGGCGTGGTAGCACATGCTTGTAATCCCAGCACTTAGGAGGCTGAGGCAGGAGGATTACCATGAGTTGGAGGCCAGCCTGGGCTACATAAGTGAGTACAAGGCCAGCCTGAACTGCATAGTGAGACCCTGCACCAACAACTGTTGGGAGAGCTGTCCGGAGCCAGAATAGGACCACACCCTGGAGTCTTAGGCAAACTGGTAAACTTCTCTGAGCCTCCAATGTCCCAGTCTGTAAAATGGACCTCAGAAAAGGTCATCTGTGCTGAAATCACGTGTGCAGTTCCTGGGCAAATGCCAGGCACCTTGTGTCAGCTACTTTGGAGAAGGCTGAGTCATCGATAAACAACTGACTTCAGAGTCACACACAGTAAGGCGTTCCGGCACCCAGGACGGGGCAGCCCGATCATTGATTTACAGATGGGGAAACTGAGGCCCAACAGATGAACAGATTTTCCCAGGGTCTGCAGGACTGGACGGCTGTGTGTATCTCTGTTCTGGGGTCTGGCTGCAAGAGACCTGGAGCCACTGACTGGGCTCAGAGCTCCCGTGACGGTGCCGCTCACCTTTGAGGCCGGGAACAAGGATCTGCACAGAGCAGGCGTCATCCATGGCCGGCTGGGGACGCGCGGGCAGTGGCAGCCACAGGAAGGCCAGGCTGAGCAGCACACCCGTGAGAGCCAGGTCCCTCATCGTGGGCACCAGCAGGACATTGACTCCTGGACAGGGGGAGGCTGATGGACACATAGAGCAGCAGTGTGTGACAGCAAGCAGAGTTGCCACCGTCACCACCACCCGCGCTCGCCTCCTCCCTGCAGGTCATGATGGCCACACGCACCTCCACCCTCCTCCCTGAGCTGCCCAACTGCCCTCGGGAGGGGCCGCTGGGGACGGGCTGACCCCGTCTGGCACCAGGCAGAGCATGGGCAGCCCGTGTGGAACACTGGCTAGCCAGGGTGAGAAAACATGTGGAGAGGACATCATAGTAGAGTGATCTGTGTTTGCAGCAGCACAACTCCTAACAGCTAAGTCCGGGAAGCCACCTAGACGCCCACTGACAGATGAATGGATAAAGGAAAGGTGGTGTTTCCACGCCATGGAGCACTGCTCTGCCATAAAGAAGGATAAACTTGAGTCATGTGTAGGGAAATGGATGCACCTTGAGATCATATTGTTTTGTTTTAGTTTTTTGAGTCAGGGTCTCACTGTGTAGTGCAGACCAGCCTGGAACTCACAATGAGCCTCTTGCTTCAGCCTCCCAAGTGCTGGGATTACAGGCGTGCGCCACCACGCCTGGTGAGACCATAATGTTAAGTGAAATAAATCAGACACACAAGCTTAAACATCAAATCGTTTCCCTTATATGAGACACCCAAAGCACAGATAAAAAGCAAAATGAAAGACAACAGGAAGTAAGGAGATGGATCTTTTTCAAAAGAAGGGGCCCAAGAGATGGAGGGAGCAGGAAAGAGGAGAAGGAAAGGGACTGAAAAAGAATTAAAATAGGCGTCCATGGTGATGCACGTCTGTAACCCTGCATTCGAGAGGCTGAGGCAGGCCGAAAGTTCGAGGCCAGCCTGGGCTGCACAGTGAGTTCAAAACCACCTTGAACTATATAGGAAGAGCTTGTCTCAAAAAAAAAAAAAATGCGTTCTGTACATGTACCAATCCCCACAATGAATATAATCATGTGCTGCAAATATACACTAATAAAATTAAAAAAAGAAAAGAAAACACTGGAAGGGAAGGGCCAGGCACCCCCGCCCCTAGGAGCCCTGGCTGCGCCTGCTGGAGAGGAATTTGGTTGTGTAAACGGAGGAAGGCGGTGCACCCAGGGTCTGCTTAAGAACAACATCCTTATCTCCCAGCCTGGGTTGAGGAGGCCAGCTGTGGGGGAGAGGGGATTAGACGTGGAATTCAGGGCAGAAATGTGCTCTTCGGATTGGGAGAAGTGCCCCACGTGCGGTGCTGCGGTTTTGTTCAATGCCTGCAGCAGGACCAGTGAGGTGCAGAGACTACTGATACCTCCGGAGCCCCACCCTGCAGCGTGGGGCGGGCTGCGGTCCCGGCAAACCGGCCACCTACCCCCACTGCCCTGCTGCCTTGCTCCTTTTGCCTATCTTTTTTTATTTTGCATTTTGAGACAAAATGTCACTAATAAACGGCCCTGGCTGGGCTTGAACTTGCTACCCTCCTGCCTCCGCCTCCCAGAGTGCTGGGATTACAGGCGTGTGCACCACTACATGCTGTAGATTTCTACCCACAGCACACACTGGCTTCTCTACCCAGAGCACAGGAAGAAAACGCCTCTCCCCTCTTCTCTCCACGGCTTTAATCACAGGGTCCTGGCCTGTTTCCCGGGCACAGATTGCTCAGAATCGTAGAGAAGATACAGCAGCTGTAAGGGTTTGGGGCACTACCCGATGCCTGCAGCAGAGTGCGCCCGGTCCAGAGGAAAACCCGGCTATACGCAGTACATCATTTACATTCGGGGCTACTGCACTGCTTCCGATCTAACAGGACAGCCGGGTCATGGGGCGAGGGGTCCAGGCAGGAGCTTCCGGCCCTGCGGATTTGCCTCCCTCCTCCTGCGATTCTGCCTGTCACCACCTGGAGCTGGTACAGGAGCTCCACTACCCTCACACTCCAGTTCCAGGGCTCCATGTGCTGACCGACACCGCCCCTCCCTGAATCTAAGAACAAGTCCCAAGACCAGCCCGGACCGGTGGAATCCCGCCTCCCCGCCACGGGGTCTCAGCCCCCGGAGCCCTGCTGGAAGTAGAACTGCGTCTCCTACCCTGAGCACGCTGGGCGAGGGGACTTCCTGACCGCTGTCCTTCCGTCGCCGGCCCGTGAGGACACTGCGCTGCAGGGCAGCATGGCTGCTATTTAGAGGCCAGCAGCCCGGTCCGGCACTGGGAGCCCTGCCTGCTGCCAGAGCCTGCTTATCTGCAGCCGCTTCCTGTCGGACCCCCGCGTCCTGCTGCTGGCTGGGGAGTGTGGGAATGCGGCCTGGCTGAGCGCTCCCTCCTGGGTCTTCTTCACCTTTCTTTCTGTTTCCTCTTTTGTCTTTCTCTGTGGTACTGGGAATTGAACAGAGGGCCTTCGCCCAGAGCTACATCCCCACTCCTTTTTATCTGCGACAAAGCCTTGCTAAATTGCTCAGGCGGGACTCAAACTTGGGATCCTCCTGCCCAGTGCAGGGATTACAGGCCCAAGCCACCACGCCTGGCTTTCTCTCTTCCTTTCTTTTCCCAGCACTGGGGATGGAACGCAGGGTCTCATGCATGCTAGCCAAGCACCCTACCCTACAGCCCTTTTTTGCAGAGAGGGGTAAGTTAGAAACAGGGTCTTGCTAGTCATGCTATGTAGTTCAGGCTGGCCTCAAACTCACAATGTGGCCAAGGCTGGCCTCAAACTTGTGGCGATCCTCCTGCCTCAGCCTCCTGAGTGCTGGGACCACAGGCATGCACCACACCTGGCTGTCATCTTTAATACGTGTGTGTACTACAGAAATTCGTAAGCATAAAGAAGTAATAACCACCCAGCATCAGGTGAGCTAGCAATAAATGAAGCTGACATATTTCCTTTCCTTCCTTCCTTCATGGACTTCCCTAAAACAGGTGGAAAGTACCTGACTACCGCTTGTGGTGACCTGGCTCACAGTGAGACCCAAGCTCAGACAGCACTTAGGTTCCATGTAAAGGGGGTGCTCCCTAGCAGTGTCCTCTTACACAGGATGCATATAAACCAGGCATGGTACTGCACCCCTGTAGTCCCAGCACATTGGGAGGCTGAGGTAGCAGGGTGCAAAGTTCAAGCCCAGCCTGGGCAATTTAACAAGCCCTTGTCTCCAAATAAAAGGTAACAGAAGGGCTGGGGTGTAGCTCAGTGAATTCCCGGGTTCCATCCCTAGTACTACTAGGATTCAGCAATTGCAGTACTAGGCAATTTCCCCAGAGAAACAAAAACATGTTCATGCACAGGGCTGTCCACAGGTGCATAGTGTGACTTTATTTGTAGTAGCCCAGCAGGAAGCAGCTCTGATGTCCTTCAACAGGTGAATGGTTAAGTAAACTATGAAACATGCAGGCTCTGAACTGCAACTCAACCACAAAAAGGAGCAAAATGTTGACACACACAGCTGTAAATACAAAGGGATTCTGTGCAGTGGAAGACCCACCCCAAAAGTTTTCTTGTTTCCCACTGGGCTCGTTGGTGTCACGGGCCCTACATAGCCACCCTTAAAGCCTCAAGCTCTCATTGGTGGAGCTTTGTGTTATACTTTGCAGGTGGCACTCTTGGGTGGGTGGCTGGACCATGGTGTGAGATGCTGGACCCGTTGTCCATCTGATGGGTTCAGAGCTGGATGTGCGGTTGGAGGGGGCAGCCCTGGAGGGGAGGTCTGTGTCTATCTATAGCTGTATCCACCCTCCCTGGAGGGGAGGCCTGTATTTGTCTGTCTATAGCTGTATCCATCCTCTGGAGGTGCTGCTTCTGCTTCCTGTGTGCCACATCCTGAGCAGTTTCTCACTGCCTCAGTCCCTAATAGCGCGGGAAACTGCAGCAGCCTTCACCAGCTGATTATTTTTTGCTGATTTTATGGAAATACATGTGTGGGGTCTGCGCAGTGGCCTGTCCAGCTGCACCTTTGCCTCAGTCCCTCTGCCTCTGGCGGGGGGTACAGTAGCCCAACATTCTGGTGGCCATCTCAGGTCCTCACCCTTCCCACTGTCCCAAAGCAGTAGGGCCATGAGCCAGGCCAGGTGCTGCCTGCAGGGGTGAGCTGGGCTCACCCAGTCACTAAGGCGGACCCACACCACCACCCACAGTGCGACGTGAGGTCCCCGCTCCAGGCCCCAGATCAGTTAAGCAAACGCTGCAATACACAGTGGCCAAGGTCTGGGACCAGCTTAGGTTCCTGTCAAGAGATCAGAAGATGTGGCAGCCCACAATGGGTACCACTCGGCCATAAAAAGAACACGCTGTCCACGTGCAGAAAAATGGAGGGATCTGGAGTCCCATCACGTTGAGTGGAATAGGCCATCCCGAGAAAAACGTCCCACATTCTCCCTACAACGCAGAACCCAACAAGGATGATAGGTGGGAGGGAGACTGGACAAGAGGAAGGAGCTGGGAAGGGAGGTAGATAAACGATCAAAATGTATGCACTGAAAACCCCAAAATACATGAACCTGGGGGAGGGGCGAGAGGTAGTAGAAGAAGGACCAGAAGCGTTGATGTGCAGTGAAACGCTTTTGAAAACCAGAAACACACTCCCTGCAACAGAAGCGGTGCCCACCTGCCCAGAGAACGCTGTGAGAACCACCTTCCGGTGAGCAACCCAGCACCTTGGCCCAGAGGAGCGCCCCTTCTCCCCTCCCAGCCTCCTGCAACTGGGGGCCAAGCCTGAGTGCAGAGCAGAGCGCTGACCCTGCCGCTTCCGGGGAGTATTTACATTTCTTGGAGATAAGCGGGAAGTTTGGACAGCAGGAGTCACTCAAGGCGGTCAGCCTGGATGTGCTCCCCACGGGGCTCGACCGCGTGTCCACCAGAGCATTACCCCAGCTGCTACTCAGGGTGGAGCAGCACTTAGCCCCTCCTCCACACCGTCACCGTGGCCAAGGAAACAACAGAGGGTCTGGACACCATTCCAACCGAGTCTTGCAGGCCATTCTGCTGAGTGAACAGTCTACTAAATGATGATTCGACTTAGCTCCTAAGAGCATTAGAGGGTTGAAACACCCCACTTCCAAGCCTCCTCCCAAAGCACACCCCGGGAGACCAGCGCACATGAGACCTAGTCCAGGATGGCCTCCCACTTGCGGTGACCCTCCTGCACAAGTCCCTGGCCAAGTTGCCATATCAAAGTACTGAACTGCTTTCACTGAAGCTAATACTATGGTGAAAAAAGACTTAGATCCAGTTAGCCTTTTTATCCATTTAAAATTCTTAGCTGGGTGTGTGGTACACACCTGCAATCCCAGCTCCCTGGAGGCTAAGCCAGGACGGCCACAATCAAACCTGGCCTGGGCAACCATCTCAAAGAAAGGCAGGGCCTGCCCCGTAGAAGAAGCGCCAGAACTGTGCCAGTGACAGCACTGGATGCCGACCCCAACCCCAGCCCTGGCTCCTCCTTCGCCTGCCTCGCTCCCCAGGCACCACTGGTGGGCAGAGGCACCCACGGCTGGAGTTCTGAGGAAAGCTTAAACCAGAGCGCTATGAATGATAGCTTTATTCTGACATTTACAACGGCTTACAACTGAAACTCTGGGAATTCAAAATTCACGTCCTTGCCCGTGAGCTTCTTATAGACACCAGAGAATGTTTCAACCTGAAAGGCAAGAGAAAAATGTCAGTCACGGGACTTGCAGGCGTGCTCGTCTCACACCTGGCAATCCTGAGAGGCTGAGCCGGCGGGTCAGAATTGGGGACAAAGACACTGACGGCAGGGGAGGCCGCCTCCAAGGCACAGCCTTCCCGAGTCCTCCACACCGCCCCCACCCCAACTCCAGAGCGTCCCATCTCTGAGGTACCTCTTAATCCCAAGGGAAGGGAGAGGCCGGAGGCTGGGGCCCTGGCTACCTTGTGCTCCACGTTGTTCTGCTGGGCCTTGTCCAGGTGCACCTTGATGAGCCGGCTGCCGTCCAGCTTCACGCGGATCCTCTTGCCCACAATCTCGCTGGGGAAGACTAGGTCTTCCAGGATGGCGTCGTGCACAGCAGTAAGCGTGCGGCTGAAAAGAAGGTGATGTGTAAGGGAAGCCAAGCACACTTCCTGGGGTCAAAGAACCACAAACAGAAACCCACCAGACATATGCCTATAATGCCAACATGCAGGAGGCTGAAGCAGGAGGATTGCCAGGATTTGAAGTCCAGCCTGATTTACATAGAGAGACCCTATCTCACAAGAACAGTTTACCTACCTACTAAATACCTCTTAAGGGCTTTCCATTGCCTCCAGAATGCCAACGTAACTCCTTGCCCACTATGACCAAAGGAGACACTACACCATGCCCCCAACACTGTCCTGTCAGTTTTAGGGGCACCCAGAAGGGAGCCTGTGCCCAGCCCAGAGCACAAATTGCAGGGACACACAGGAGGATCACAGCACTCAGTAGCTGCCCAACTGAGGGAGGCTCAATCCCAGGTGCGCCTGGACACAGGAGCTCAGCCTGGTGAGCCCACAGAAGGGCACCGGGAAGTGTTCACCACACAAGGCCGAAGGCACGCCCCAGCAGCCCAGGTGGGAGTCGTCTCCCCTGGGATTGTAAGGCCACCTGGGACCTGCACAGAACACCACAAAAGGACTGTGACCTGCATGGCACTAGCCCAGCAAAGTCTAGGCTCTCCTCAATACCAAATAAGCATCAGCTTCAAGTCAAAGAATCCCACCAGAGCCTGGCTGTAACTCCAACTTCTGGGTCCCTACTACACATGTCCTGAGTCCAGAGATGTTCTTAGTCTCTGCACTTTTTGCACAGGTTGGTACATGGTCACTTTTTTAGTCTCATTCCACACAGCCGGGGGCAAACACCGAGTCCTTATCACTCACACTTCAACACAGGAAACGCATGTATGGCTTGAGCTGTGCTACTACGCTACACACCCGCTCCAGGACACTTTCCAGGGATTCAGTGTGACTTGTAGCAAGGTGGATGGGAATGTGCGTCTCCCAACCATGCAGATCCCCTCAGAACACTTCCAGATGGCTCACTATCACTCATCAGAACAGTCTGCGTGCTAGGAAGCACTCAGGTGTGCAGTCTGCCAAGGACTTCCTTGGAAGCAGGACAGTCCCATGGGTATTCTTAGGGTCACCACTCACACACCCCAGTGTTGTCCAGGGCAACAACAGCAGTGTCACCCTGACTGTAACCACAGCTCATGGGGACTCAGGACA